ATATAATTGGGTTAAACAATTTTCAAACAGGTGGCAACCCTCCAATTTTTTGCGATATCATTGGTTCTGGTATTATACCGAACAATAAAAAAAAAAAATTATTCAAATCGGTTCAGCCGTTCTCGAGTTTTGACGACCGTGACATACGAACACAACATTTTTATTAATTAGATTAGTAGTGGCATGAATGTATCCCCGTAGCGAATGTCATGCATTAGTCACTTAAGAGTCTTGTACGGAAAAGTTACGTCTTAAATGATTTTGGGCTCCGATTGTATGGAAGTCGTTCATGACTTTTTCATATAAATGGTAATTTCGTCGTTGATGTCATCTGCATGACTTGGGCATGCAGTGATCATTAATGACATTCAAGCGACGGTATCTTGCAATAGACTTTTTATAAGTGACCGCTGCAAGACATCGTCTGTTATAAGGCCTTGATAGGAGTACACCTGCATGACATTGTCACCAGTGTCATTGTCAGCTATATGTCGTTTAGGTTTCACAGCAAGTGCGACGATGTCACTAAGTTCTCATTAGTGACGATGTCACCGGTGACCATTTTCGCTACTGGGATGTATTAAATACGTATATGTATATTAAAACAAAAAAATGAAGTGATCAGTTATGAAATGTATAAATCTTTACATGTTCTGTTAAAAAATATCTGAAATAACAACCGAAAACCCCCAAGTTCTATATCGTAGCTGTGGCCACATTGCGTGTTTGCCACAGACACGGTTTATGTCAAAAGTTTTGAAGTGAAACTACCTTCTGAAAATTTTTGTATCATGTATTGTACCTTAAATCTAACACTTCACAGAATAAGATTATATGAATTTTGAGTCGAAACTTAGCGGAACTATTTAGTTTTTTTCTACTTAAATATTAAAATAAAATAATTTAAAGTCCAACTTTTCACGTTGAACTTACTGAGCTATGTACATATATAAAATTCATTTATTAAATTTAAGAAATTGTGAAATAATCTTTTAGTAACCAGTAATACTTCTTTCAGGGAAAAAATATTTGCAATAGACGCACCGTTACACGTTTAATAGGTAATTGAAATCGCACAAAAAAAAAACTTTTCTCTGCTACAGCTAACTGACTTGCATCGACTAGCCAACTTATAAACTTAATATTCTTTTATGTAAGAGATCAAAAAAACAAAAAAATAGTTACAATTATCTATTGTATTAAGAAGTACGCATGACATTAGGTTTGTATAGTAACTTCTCCAGTAAAACATTGCAGCGAGAGCGTAAAAGCAAAATAGAGCGTAAAATTGAGAAGAAGAAAAGCAAACTAGCAGAAAAAGTTAATGAACACAAAACTAGCAAAAACTTGCAAGTGAACAGTCGTTGCACTGTTTTGACATTCTGCTGTAAACATTTTACTATTTATAAATCAGTCTTAAACTCTTTGCTTTACACACAAGCACTTACACAGTCACAATATTTTGATTTAAGCTCCTTTTACTTTTGTTTGTGCTAAACTAATTCAACAAATGGCGGCTTTTGACATTTATTCTTCTTCTTCTTCTGCTAGCTAATTTCTGCTAGTAAAAATTTCACTAGCAAGAATTTGCAGCTCTCCCGCGTTGTTACGCTCTCGATTCAGTGCTCTCTTGCAAATTTTTTGGGTTATCATACACTTTTCCAGTAAAAATTTGCAGGTTCCAGTACAAATTAGTACTGACTGTTGGTTACTATACAAACCTATTTCGACGCTATTCGCATGACTTTGATTTTTACATGTTGTCCCGCTAGTTAAGTGAATCCGACCTGTGTGCATCGTGATGCTAAGAGTGTGCTAATGTTTCCAATTATTGATCCAATACTCTGGATCCGCCATTTAGAATTTTTAAAATCGGATAGCAAATTCGTGTGCAGCGACCTAAAAGTTATTTATAGATGGTTTACAATGAGTTTCCTATTGTCGTAATTAAATGAATAAAGGCATAAAAAGATACATAAAATTTTAATTTAACGGTAGCTCAAAAAAGGATCTGATGTGATTTTGAAATACTCAGAAATACCCCCCGTTCGCCAAATGGAGCACCATTTTCATAAAACCTAAAGCTGCTTGAAGCTCACTGTGATGGCGCCCGAGTTGGCCTCCAACTTTAGGTCTCTCATGACAAGCCCCACAGAATGTAACCTAAAAGTCTTTGAAGTCGGTCACAAAATACTCTGTGTATGGATTTAATCATGATAAAAACATTACAAGGTTTTGCAAGCATTCTATATATATTGTTGTGTTTAAGTCTCGAATTTTTAATTATATTGCTGGCAAACGTCAGACTGCGTCTCAGTGGTTTTAACTTTTTATGTTTTCAGCATGGCTTTAATAATTCTATTCAACTTACCGCTGGAGCCCATTTGGAGAGTGGAGCTTGCGTGTTGGGTCGGGTTTGACTTTTCGAACGACCTTTAAGTATCTTTCTGGTGACGAATTGCCCAACATTTGACGATGATTTGGATTTTTGCATAGCCGCTTCCAAATTTGCATCCTTCGAGAAAGCTGTAAATAAAGATTTAAGAAGTAATAACTTGACGAATTTATTATTATTTGGATGGCGCATACACCTTCACTGACTATATAACAACTGACATTTGCCCCAGCTTTTGAGAAATTTGCGGTTTCAAATGTTGGTCTTTTGAGACGCGAAAATTAAATATCTTGAAAAAAGGCAAAAATTTAAACTTATACTTTATGTTCAGTATTGCCACACATGAGCTTTTCCTACCAAAACTGGTAGGTTTTTCTCCATTTGGTAGATTGAAAGCTATATTGGTTTTTGAAAGGTTCCGTGACAATAATAGTTATTTGCGAAAAATAGAAAATATGTATCTCCAAACATTTGAGCAATCTTGTCTACACGAATAGAAAGGCGACCGCATACATGTAAATATACCTGATTCGTAAGTACCCTTACAATTAGCAATATACAATATGAACATTCATATATATTTTATGTGTCTACAAGTTAATTTAAATTGAACTGAACTACAAAGATGTGATAAACTATATACACTCTAAAACATTTGTATAAAATTCAGACTACAATAGGAGTAAATTCATGTTTAAATTATTTTGGTGTCCAATAATGGGCATTTTTTGCACCTACTTATGTGAAAAACAAAAAATTGTCTAATATTCTTATAAAAAATGTGTAATATTTACGTTTACAACCAAAATGTCGAAATTTTATGCACGAAGTGTCTAAAAGCTCACATGATGTTTATTTGTTGTGAAATCGTCGCGTCAGTCGGTTTGGTGTGAGCAAATTTTTAATCGTTGGTGTTCTTCGGTGGAAAATTGGCGCAATAAATATATATTTACAAAAGCAGTTATTGGTATTTTTATAAGGTCACAGTTCTTTTAGGTATAGAAATTTTTGGTATGCAAAGTGTGTGCTAAGCAGTTTTGTAAATTAAAGAGCTATCATTTGCATTTATATGCGCATAGGGAATTAAATTGTAATATGTTTGAGTATTTGTTTCAGAATGCAAGAAAAAATGTCAAGCTATAATGCTTATGAAGTGCATTTTTCTAGAAAACATTCCGAACAAGGCGACGTGTTACTTCTATGAACGGCAAATTTAATTGTTCGATGGAATCTTGTGCATATTTTGCATCAAGCATAAGTGAATTGTATTCACATTTTTTAAAGCATTTTGCCTGCTGTGAAAAGGTGAATTGTCCAATACTTTCCAGAGAACGTATATTTATAGAGAAGGACCAAGAACGGATCAGCGTGGAAACTGTCAAATACCAACAAAACCGGCGAAGCGCATTTTAAGAGCGGCCAGCCAGAGACAATCGAATTTTAACAGAGCCCAGCCAGAGGCAAAATAAATTTAACAGAAATTGTCTCATCAAAGCAAATGCATATTTTTCTTGTTAGAAATGAAATGCTGATGGCTTTTTACGTTTTACAACTTTTTCAATCCGACACAAAAATTCCAAAATCTTAAAATGAAGAAATCTCGGCCAGCCAAGTGAAAAGTGGCAACTATTTCTCCATATCCAGTAAAATAAGTTATCTCAAATTTTGGAAATTTTTAGTATTTTTTGACAAAACACTCTATTTCTATGTTTCATATCAATATTTCAATCATTAACTAGTTTTTGAGATGTAATTTTAATAAATATTAAATAAAAGTGTACGTTTTCTGCAGGAAAATAGATAATTTTTTTTAATAAAATCAAAACTTCTAAAATCCCAAGAATATGTGGTTTTATCGGCAGTCCACAGATGTAACGTGGCAACTTAGCTCGTTTTCATATTTTTCGGTCCGAAATTGTAAAATTTTTGTCCATGACGCGCCACAATTTTTGTACAGGAGGGTCAATGTGCCTAGAACACAATTTATATATATACAAAAAAATTATTATTTTTTTATTTTTTAATGTTAAAATTTTCTATACTTCAAAGCGTTTATAAAAATATGTTTACATATATGCACGGACGATTTTTAATATTTTTCAACCGTAAGCAAATCTTCAGTACCATAAAAGATTCAAACACATCAAAGTACAAGCAATGCAATGTCCAAGCTAGTGGTACTCCACTGTACATGTGTATATGAAAGTATGCATGTATGCGTGTAAAAAATGCCAATTCCAGTTAGTGTTTAACCCATTTTAGCGGACATAGTTTTTTTGGTTTCAGCTGGTTCCAACTGTTAATGAAGCACAATTTGTCTGGTTAATCTTACAGAACTTATAATTAATTAATATTATTCTCCATTCAAAATGTACAAGTATTTCCATATTCAGTGCAAAGTTATGCGAAAATCTAAATATTTCGTAAACGTAGGGTTAATGGTTTCACGCACGTGCCAATCTGGAGGCGATTCGCAGAAATTGAATAATTTGTGTTGATGGAAGCAACGAGGGGAAGACGAAAGCAGAACAATCGTATATATGTATGTACATATGTAAATTTATAAATGCATACATATTTACATTTTCATATGTTTGTCTTTTTAGTTGCATGAAAAATTTTTTAGCAGAAATAGGTAATATCAATGAAATAATGAAATGCAGTTTACAAATATGTGCTTTATAAATTTAGGTTTATTAATTAATTAGATACGTAAATGACAACGTGGGGGACAAATATGTACATGAGTAGCGAAGCTACCACCCATCCAATGGCAACTTCTTGCACCAGAAAAGATTTGAAAACTGCATTATTTCCATAAATATTGAAAATATTGAAAAATTTCCGACGTTTTCAGATTTTTAGTATTTTTAAAAAAAGTTTCCAAGTCGAACACCATTAAAAACTGAATTATTTCCATAAATATCGAAAATATGGGAAAATTCATACAGACTTTCGACTTAGTTTTGTGAGATCTCTACAAAAAAAAGGAAAATAATTCTTTTCACAGGTTTTTTTTTTAGTCCAATACCAATACAGTTTTTTACTTGAAAATAACACAAAAATTGGAAAATGTTATGTAATATTTCCGATTTATTTTAACGTTGTGTGTACAAATCACCGAGAAGAAATTATTTTTTCCCCTAAAAACTCTACTTAAAAAAAAATCGAATACCAATAAAGTTTTATAATTGAAAATCTAACAAAATATTATAAAAATCGAAAAATGGTATATAACATTTTCGATTTATTTTCACGGTATTTGTGGAAATCACCGGGGAAAAGGATTTTTTATCAAAAAATATTTTCACAAAAAAACACAAACACATGGGACTTTTCTATTTGCAATTATTAATAAAATATCAAAAAAATCGGAAAATTTTATATACTATTTTCGATTTAATTTCATGTTACTTGTACAAATCATTGAAAAAAAAATTTAATTTTTTTACTTGGGTTTTCTATTTGAAAATTTTCCCAAAATATCACAAAAATCATCAATATTCATATTTAATTAACATTCCAAATGCTCTCGTGAGATTTAGCTCTGTTAACATTCTTCTTTTCTGCTTTGTATTTTGCTTTCGCTGTTAAGTATTCCAAATATTTGTCGCTTTTAAAATGCGCTTCGCCAGTTTTGTTGGCTCGAAAAATTTGGCATTCACAGTTTTCGGTCCTTCTCTATAAATTCACGTTCTCTGTACTCTTGTGTTTGAAACCATTTACTAATGTAGGCTCAATTCCATCACATTTTTTCTGTAAGCATAAGCAAGCGAATAACTCCTCTCTGGAAAAAGATATGTATGAAAATATAGAAACACCCAGTGGGTAAAAGATAAGCCCTTAGTGTGTAAATATAACCATCTAGTATATAAACTATTAAGCATCTAGTGTAGGGCTGCCATACGTCCCCGTTTCCAGGGACATGTCCCTGTTTCAGACCCTTTGCCCCCGTGTCTCCGTTTACAACCGAAATATCCCCGTTTATTGCTCGGACAACAATATATAATTAGCTTTTTTTAATTTTAAATGGTTAGCGGAAAATTGTTTAGCCTATCGAATTCGCAAGTGAAAAGTGAACAATTTTGGGCGAAAATAAAACGCATGATAACCCTGCGTTTACATAAGACAATTTGATTTAAATTAATTGTCAAATTTTTTAAAAAGTAGGCGTCCAGACTATTATAAAGACAATACACTTTGCATTGGGACTGTGGAAAGTATCGTTCAGTGCAAGTTCAACTTTAAAAAAAATGACGTGCACTGAATTTTACCATTATGTGAAAAATGAACACGATCTTTTAAGCAAAGTTAAAACTAGTGAAAAATACGAGTGGTATACGCGAAAAGAGACCCTATAACATGTAATATGAGTTAGTTACGTAAAAATGTGTTAAAATAGTTCCTGTTTTGTTTGCTCCCACTTACGTTAAGATGAACTTACGTTAGATTGAACTGCACTTTTTCTTTGATCTCTAGCGGTTATGTTTATTTTAATATTTTGAAATAGTTTGTTTGTATATTAGGGTGGCCAAAAAAAGTAAAGTCGGAATTTTAATGCTCTAATCCCCTAGAATGGTTCTACGTCGAAAAAAATTATACCCCTATTTTTTTATTTTAAAATCAAATAATATTTAGCGGTCGCTCAAGGCGCTTGAAGTTTTCCATGTATTTTATATGGGGGAAAAAATAACTTTTCGTATGGAGTTCTTGAAAATCAATTTTTTTCGATCGGAAAACTCTGGTTCTCTTCAAGAGGCTTCGGAAAGAAAATAATACAAGTAATATTTTCATATGTAGGACATGCTCGTACGAAAGCCAACAGTTCATTCCCTATTAAGAAACCAAAACTGGTAATACCGGGGAAGACAGGTTTTTAGGCCCTGCTCCTTGACACCATATACATAATAGATATGTATATATGCATGTATGCACATTAGAGTGGTTCAAAAAAATTTTTTTTTGGAAATTCATAAACGCTACCTCAAATTATTGTTATTTGTGATAAAAAAAGAGAAACGTGTTTTTTTTTATTTTGAAAAAAAGTTTTTATGGAGGTCGCGCTGGTCGGTTTTTTATGAAAACGCTGATGTTCTCAATTTTTTAATTTTCTTGACATGTTAAAATTCAGGTAAAAATGTGGTTTTTGCATATAATTACTCTGGTATTATTGGGGAACATTCCCTTAGTTACATACCTGTCTTGGGTAGTTAGAATGGGCCTAATGCCCGAAAATATGCTCTCGAAAAGAGACTAATAAAATTGAAACGTTGCTACTGAACGATTTACGCGTTGTCATGGGTGGGAACTTGTATCAGGGGGTTTCAAGGGTTGCTAATTAGGAATCTGAAGTCAGTTTTTCAAAATTTATACTGGCGGATGTAAAATGGCGATTAATTTTTTTACAAAATTATTGGATTGGTTTGAAAACCCGCACTCGGGAGTTTTTGAGGTCGCCGACTACGAATCTGAAATAAATTTTTTTAAATTCAAAATGGCGGATCCAATATAGCGATCAAATTAAAAAAAATATTACTAAAATTAAAACGTTGATACTGAACGTTTTAAGCA